AGCTGATTTTTTGAAAAATTTTTAGAAAAATTTTTTGAATTCCACCTGAAAAACAACTTCCTGTTATAATCCGCCCTTATAAAAGTATCGAAACTTCAAAATTTATAGCAATTTTGATGAATTTATAGCAATTTTCACAAATTTTCAAAAAACTTCAAAATTTTGAAATTTCGGAATCTGGCCCGGGCTGACAGGGCCGGGCCGGAGAATTTTTCCATTTGACCCGGCCCGTGACAAGTATGCTTGTGAGTATCCCTCTCGTTCGAATTGCAATTAGGAATTGCAGACAATTTTCAAAATAATGATAAGTGTGAGAGCAAAAATTTAAAATTTCGCACGAATTTAGGTTAGAAACGGATACTGAAAACACCTTACCAATTATTATAATAATCTATGGGAAAAGGTACTTAGTATATTCATAGTTTGCACCCGCTATGTCCTGGCTTACTTTATGCTCCGATACCGTAAAACCTATAATAGATGGGCTCCTAGCTTTCAACTTGGAGCCAATTTATCTCTGTTCCTGTCAAAGATATGAAAAAGTTGTCAACTGACAAACTGTTTATCACATTATCACAAGTGTTTTGTCAGTTGACACTTTTTTGATATCTTGCATAGGAGCCAAGAAAAAATATCTCAAACTTGACAGTGCTCTTCTATTACAGGTTCAAAAGTATGATTACTGCAACCATCAAAGAATGCGATACAAAAAAATCATTTCATTAGATTAATATTGCTTTTTTTCATTCGATTATCTTCGTACTGTTTTCCAGATTAACATCTTCTAAACCTCAAAATCAATCTCACATTCCATTTAATCTATTTCCCCGGAATTCAAGAGTACGATAGTTTTATTGGTCTCGTCGTTCCAACTAGATCCTATTCTAAATTCTTGTTTGTGAAAGAACCCATTCATCCGTTCTTCATCTTTTTTTTTGTACGAATGGGATGTGTTTGTGCACTTTATGATGATGAAACTGAGCTTCTTTTCTCTTTTCTTTCTCTTTTACAAACCCACCCATTAGCACTCACTTGCTCGGGTAGATCTTCACTTTTTTGTTTCTCAAGTTGTCAGGTGATCCGTGCATAACTTTGAACTCCAAGGAAACATTTTTGCACACATAGAGACCATCTTGTGCAAAAACCAAGACTAGACATTTCTTCGGAAATATATTTTGAACTATTCCATCTCATGACCGGTCAAACTCTTTCACTCAAAACGATTGACATCCAGAAGCCGGAAGGTATACTGTAGCTGCTGGTTGCAGACTTTTCGGAATGACTAGTTCCGAATCTTTTTTTTCTTTGTTTTTTCTTCTCTTTTTCAATTTTCTTCATGTTTCGATTTGACCAAATACCATATGCTTGCAAGTTTTGTTATCTTATCAAACTTTTAACTTCGACCCCTCTGATAAATTTGTTGTTTCGAACAGAAGTAAGCGTTTGTAGATTGATCGTTAGTAGAACTCCTTTTGTTTCCATTTCTATCCATTCTTCAATTTTTCTTCTTATAATTTCTTATCACCTGCGAACCAAGAAAAGAGAAAAGCGAAAAAGGAAATTTCCCAGCCACAGAATTTTTTATTTCCCATTTTTATATTCAAAACTTTATATATATATTTTTTGCAGACTCTTTAAAGAAATGTTTCAATTTCTATTTTTTTCCAATCTCTTTGTTTCGGCAGATATAGTATTATCAGCTGATCAACAAACTGTTTCGGGACACTTTTGTTACTCTGATCAGAGTTTTTGCTTCTTGATCAATGACTTGTGTTCACTATCAGTTTATTTATTCTATAGTAATTTCATATTTTCTGATTTATGTGTGTGGCACTGATTACTGGAACCATTCCCTGAATTTTCTTTTATCACAGAACTTTATTCATGTGTCTCCCGCATGCTTTTGTGTTCAAATATAACTGATAATGTGTCTGTCCCGTTGATTCTTTCCGTGTGACTTCTTATATTTTGCTTCTTGGTTTTTCGACTATTACTGTTAAATTTTTTTCCACCAAAATGTTGCATAACATATCAACTTCAAAGGCGCATATCTCCAAGACTACTGTAGATATGAAAAAGTTGTCAAGAACAAAAATATTGAGCGCATATAGACAGTCATTTTTGATTCTGACCACTTTTTTCTAGCTACCGTAACTTTTTAGATACGCTCTTTTAAAGATCACCTATTCCTGGAAAACGTCGTTGAAAGTAAACAATGTGGCAAATAAGGACGAGGATTTGAATTCTCGCGCAGTGAGAAACCCTCTGACGGTCCTTTTAAAGTTTCGGACAGTGGTTTTACATTTTTTTACGTGTCGGAGAAGAAAGATGCGAAATCCGAGAAACTAGTCATAAAAAAGGCGTCCCGCGGCCGTGGCCAAGGTTTCTAACTGCGCGGAAATTAAAGTTCTCGTCCCTCTTCGCCATCTTTTATTTTTAACGGCGTTTTTCAGGGAAATCGGATATTTTAAATATTATTTTCGCAATAACGTTAGGAAAGTACATTATTTCAAAACATTTTAATGCAATTTCTGATCGTACTCCCCTTTCAAATTCTTATATACCCCATAACTATACTAAAGAACTTCCGAAAGCAACTTCTTATTCAAGCTTTTTGATTAAACCCAAAATCTCGAAAATCTCTACTGCTATCCAGATATTCAGAATTCTACAACATCATGCTTTCCTTTTTTGTTCGCATCATACACAAACACAAATAGATTTCACTTCTCCAAAAGTTTTATAAAATATGCATGATTCCCCTTTCATAATCCTTCCTCGAAATCCCCCATCCAATCTCATCGATCATCCTATCGGAGATCGTCCAAAGCACACAATTTTCGCACATTTTTCTGGCGATCAGGTTTCTTTTGATTTTTTGAAAACTTTAAAAGATGATAACTGTGACAAAAGATATATCCAGATCAGTGTGTTCTGCTCTTTTTTTTCTGCCTACATCGACCACAAGAACAGACACAGAAAGGTCTCTTTGCAATAAAATCCCTTTTTGCCACGCCATTCTATTTTCTCTATCTCCTCCCCATTCCAAAAGCAAAACGAAAAAAAAGGCACAGTGGTTTTGCAAACGTTTGAGCAGCTGTCTAGGACTCATTTCGTCTGTGTGCATCCTTTTCCTTATTTCTTTCTCTAATTATCTCATCTCTCTCCTCTTCCATTTTCAGTATCAGTTTCAATTCATCAAAAAAAAAACTTGTCGAGAAAAAAAAAGAAAAAAGAAGAGTGGTATAGGGATGAGAAAGAATATATAATTAATACACGATCGTCTTTTTTCTCTGCTCTCCAAGTATTTCTCGTTTTGCTTTTTTCTTGTTACACCAGTATTTTTTTCGGTTTTCAGATCTCTTTATTACTAATTTTGAGAACCTTAAACCTCGTGATTCTGAGGGAATATTTAGTACCGTAAAACCTGTGTTAGAAGGACCTGTAACTTTTAACTTTGAGCCAATTTATCTCGGTTCTTGTCGAAGATATGAAAAAGTTGTCAACTAACAAATTGTTTATTATAATATCACAAACATGTTATTTGTTGACACATTTTTGATATCTTGCATAGAAGCAGAGATAAATCATCTTAAACTTGTGGCAGTGTTAAGCCCTTCTATTACAGGTTTACGGTAAATATTTTATAATTGTTTTCATTTCCTGGTTACATCTACCGTAGTCTTTTTCTCTCTCCAAATATCACATTTCCATTATTCAAAGCTTCTTTTTTCTTCTTCGTTTTTCGTGAAAGGATTGCTTTCGGGTTCCCATGGTATTTCTAACCGATTCTCCGCATTCAAATCGTCCATCTTCTTCATATTTTTATTTTTCCATCGGAAGATGTCAACTGACATTTTGTGCATCGAAGCCTTCTCACCTGACTACTCTCCCCCTAAATTCTATTTTTCATTTGCTTCCGAATGTTTGTATCCTGAATTCTTTCTGCTTCTGCTGTTAATGTCCTTTAGAAAAAATAGCAGAAGCGACGTCACAGACATTTCCAGAGAACCACTTTTATATGACCACGATTCTTGCGGGAGAAGCTGCAAATTTCAGCATGTTTATGGAACAAGTGTTCAGTTATATTTCTCCTGATTCCTTTTTACTAATCTCTCCCCGCCTTCTCGCGTTTTCCCTTCTCCATTATCCCCTCGATTTTCATCTAAAGATTATCCCATTTGACTATGATTAGTCAATACGACGTTACGAATAACTTTTGCAAGTATTTAAAATTCATCTGAATCTTTATTTTTCTCTTATCTAGCCCTTCAGTTAGTTGACGTGATTTTCAACATGTGTTCCTTTTTTAAACTATCGTTTATCTTACCAAAAGAAGAGAGGAAACGAGAGAAAATTGCAAAGAAAAAGTGTGCTTTATCCGTTTTTGTGGTTTTTGATCACTGTTTTTCGGATGGACACTGAGAGACAAATTTCGGAAAAAGAGGGATTCTCATGTCCTTGAACAAGTTGAACAAGTTCAATGGAAACTAGAAAAAAAAGAATAGATTTGGGATCGCTTTGAAACATGTTTCAATGTCAAAGATCCCAGATAAAAGTTTAAAATGTTCTAGTTTCCTTTCCATTTTTATGGCTTATCAGGTTTTTCTGATAAGCAAATTCGTTTTTGAACATTTTCTAGTCCCTCAAACTTTTAAAGAGACTTTTTGAATTTTTTTTTTTTGGAAAGTGCTGAAACTGTTTTCAACTGTCAGAAAAGATGAGAACAGCAATTTCACAAATTTTTGCAGCCCAATTAGTCTCGCGATCCCTCTAACAAACCGGAAGGACAATTTACGGGCTTTCTAATGATATAGGTAGATAGCTCCCTAGCCAGATCTCTTCACGCATTTTTTCATATTTTCTTTCTTATCGCGTGAACTCTCATATTCTCCAAAATAACCTAAATTTCTCAGCCGCTTGTCTTACAGAGCCACCACGATATCCACGCATCACAGTGGACATCAATTGGAAACCAAAAAATTGAAATGAGTTGATGAATGTGGCCGACAAGCGTCGAAGCTCTCAGGTTCTACCACACATTTGCCTTCTCGCCGGGACGTCAACGGCTCTTCGGAATCTTCATCGTTTTTCTGATTGCCACAGTTTTTGTGACATCGGATGCTGATGCAGATGCCGTTCCAGCTCCCGGTCCCTCTCCTGACCCCTCATTGGGGGCAGGAGCTAATCCGTTTTTGTTAGAATCGTTGGTCAAAAGAGTGAGTAGTTGTTTTTTGTATGACTAATTCTTGAATTCTGTTGTTTTCAGTTACCCAAAAAAGGAGACAAAAGAGAAATTCTAATTAGTTATCTGGCAGCTGTTCCAACTTTAATGGGAGAAATCGATCAATATCTCTTAAATCTATCTGCTTCGAATTCAGCACAAAACAACTCAAAAGATCGAGAGAGTTTCTCGAAGAAATTGAATCAAATCGTACATTGTCTGACAACAGACGCATATGTTTCGGTAGTTTCTGGTGCTCTTGTGGCTGCAATTGTGGAGATAAATCAAGATAAAACAATTATTCCGGATTATCAATTGAAATATGTTTTTGGAAACACATGTGGAAACGATTCTCATAGTAAGACTCAAAGATCTGGGAAAAAAGATAATCTGTGGTTATAGGTACTCGTCTATTCATGGAACACTGGCAAGCAGGGGCACGAGTTTTTATTGGTCCAGAGAAAAACTGCAAAACGGAGGCAGCGATGGCCGCTTCTCAGAATCTTCCCATCATCAGTTATCGGTGTAACGATCAGGATATTTCTCGTGATGAGTATGTTTTTTTTCCTTTTTGGTTTCTGAATTTTTTTGAATCAAGATACAGATTGCGACATTTAAACTTTTTCGATTTCCATATACTCTTTTTTCCATCAAGGATTTTCTTTTTTCCATTTTCATATAACTTGTTTCGGATTTGTAAACTAATAAAATATTGGTTAGCCTATGATAAATAATTTATCAGTTGACACATTTTGAATATCTTTTATAGGAACCGAGATAATTGAGCTCAAAGTGCACGTCTAAGATGAGCTTATTAGAGCAAATACGGTATTCGCATTAGTGAAAATATGATAGTGTGGCTGAAATTAAGATATGAATTTTATTAATAATCCAAATTTTCCAGCTACCACTACCGTACCTTTGCCCGAACAGTACCACCAGCCGGAGAGATCTTCAAAGCATTCATGGCTCTGATGAAACATAACGATTGGAGAAAGTTTTCGGTTGTCTATGATGTCAAAAAAGGTCAATCCAAAAACGAGTTATTCGATACATTACTGAGAATGATGGAGACGGAAAACAGGTTCGAAGAGCACAAATTCCAAATTATGAATGTTTCGAGATTGGAATTCACAAAAATGGATATAAGCAGTCAACAAGATATCCAAAGTGTTGAAAACGCCATAAAGGCGACAATGAAGACAACGAGAAGTGAAATTTAAGGTCATATTCATAGAGTCAATTATCTTTTCCAGTTTATCTGACATTTGACAACGTCCGCCTGTTCCGTACAATGCTATCAATAATGGGAGAGATGGGACTGACAGATGATGGATACATGCTGATTTATGTGGATACAAACTACGATTGGCTCAACGTCTACCATGCAATGAACAATCATTTCTTGAGAAGTAAGTTCAGATTTCAAATTTTTTATACCTTCCGAGTTTTAGACACCATGACATATCTTCACCATTCCTGGGATGCCAACAACTCATCGGATCGTAAAATGCTCGATTACGCCAGAAACGCTCTTTCAATTATTCCAACTCCAGTAAAACTGAATAGCCAAAGGTTCTATAATTTCTGGAAACGAGCTGGAGAGTACATGCACCATTTTGGAGTTCAGAAAACGGACAATCTCAAGGTATCCTCTCGAATCAACACTATACTTGTACCGTTTATTTTTTAAAGTTTCAGGGAAACCGTATCGCGTGTTATCTGTACGATGCAGTTTATCTGTATGCAAGAGCAATTCATGAACTGGTTGATGAGTACGGTAATGCCGATACATATGATCCAACTGCTGACGGAAAGGCAATCATTGATAGGATAGTCAATAAAAAATATAAAAGTGAGTTTAGATATGCCTTTATTAGTTTCGAAAAATATAAGCACCTCAAGAATCACAAAAGGTTAAGAACATTTGTAGTATGTGAAACTGATTTGTGAGGGGACTTCGTATGATATTCAACGCCTTCCCCTATACGATAGAACTTGTTAATGAAGCGTCCAGGAATATTATCATCATTCTCATTAGGTAGCAAAGCAATTAATGGTGAATCTTGAATATCGGCTTGAGCAATAGATGCTAGCACTATAAACAAAATAAAGAAAAAGTAGTACTTGATACCAGTCATCATTGTGGAATAGTATCAGAATGAAATTAGACTTGATTCCTATCAGTCGGTATCGCTCAAATGTTTATTCAAAAACAATCAAAAAAACTTTTTTATTATTCAAAATAATCAAACAATAGAGTTGTAATGATATGAATCATCAAACTACCCACGTCGGATACTTCCGGCTCTTTCTCCAAGTCTGCTGCCAGCCGCTGCTCCAAATGCCGGCAGAAAACTGTCCCCGATCTTCTTCCAGACATCCCTGGCTCTTCGCTTCTCTCGAATCATGGGCTTAAAGTTAATTATTTCAAATCTGGAATATCATAGGGTCCTAGAACCTGAGACGAAACCACACCGATAATAAGAATAATAGCAAGCAAATAGTAGATTCCGAACTTCATTTTTCAAATATATAACTTTTGAGTGATATACAAAGTAACCCTTCTATCTGTTTTTATAGTACGTTTTTTGTTGTTTTGACCCAAATTTCAAGTGTTTACTGGCCTTTTTCACCGGATATCCCCACCTACTGACCATCACGTTTCCATTAAACTTTGTTGTTTATTTACCTAGAAAAATGAGAAAAGTAGTTCGCTTTTCAAATTTTGTAGTTCAGAAAAGATATGCCCGGAAGGAATCCGGAATCCGGAATAAAATTGTTTTTCCGGAATCTGGTATCCAGAAATCCAGAATCCGGAAATATGAAAAATTCATAGAATCCGGAACGAAGTGAAACTTTCGAAATCTGGAATAAAATAATTCCATGAATCCGGAGGGCGGAAATCTGAATGGATAACACGGAATTGGAACACCTCTGAGTCAGAAATAGTTCGAAAAATTATATCAGATCAAAATCAGTATAACTTGAAGTAATTTTCAGGTATCCAAGGATTTGACATGAGAATTGACGAACGAGGTAACTCGAAAGGAAACTTCTCACTTCTGAGTTGGCAGAAAGTCACCCCAATCAACAACAAATCGGATCCGAAATACTATCCACTGGATCATGCTCTCGATTTGAGTGCTATTTTTGTCGAAGCTTCTGATAGAGGACGTCTTCCGATTCTTCAGTTTAAGTCAACCGATATTCAGTGGAAGAATGGAGTCATACCACCAGATGAGCCTCCTTGTGGTTTTCATGGAGAAAAATGCCACAAAACGACATTGGAAAATTATCTTCCACTCATCGGAATGATTGGAGGTGCCATATTCTTCTTGGCCATTGCTGCTTATTTATGGAAGTGAGTTACAAGCAGAACTGAACAAAAAAATAACTATGATTTTCAGCCTTGTCCGAAGTCGTCGTTTCGAGCAAGAACTTTCAATGATTTGGAAAATCGATCCGTTTGAAGTTCGTCGAGTAGTTGGAACTGGCAACAACAACGAGTCAACTGCTTCTCTCGATCATGTAAAATTGAAGAAAGATCAGCGTAAACCACCGCCACCTTGGTGGAGCAAAGATGCAATCTATGGATCGGGAATGCGTGGTCTTGCCTCTTACAAAGGAACTCTTGTTGGCTTGAAAGATTTTTTGTACAATCGAAAACAGAAAGAGATTACTCGAGAAGCGAAGAAAGAGTTGAGAGCAATGAGACAATTAGCTCATCCGAATGTCAACAATTTCCTCGGAATCATTCCTAATAGTTATAAAATCACCATTGTTCGAGAATATTGTTCCAAAGGATCACTTCATGATATTCTAAGAAATGAGAATCTGAAATTGGATCATATGTATGTGGCCTCGTTTGTGGATGATCTGGTCAAAGGAATGGTCTACATTCATGCATCCGAGTTGAAGTATCATGGCAATCTCAAATCTACGAATTGTCTTATCACATCTCGATGGACTCTCCAGGTCGCTGATTTTGGAATGCGCCAACTTCGAGAAGACATCCTGTATGGTAGCAACTTTAACATCTGGGAGAATTTCTTATGGACTGCTCCAGAAGGCATGACAATAAATGGAAACGTTCCGACACTGAATCCTCCAACCACGAAATCGGATATTTATTCGTTTGGAATCATTTTCAATGAGATCTTCACTCGTGAAGGTCCTTACAAGATTTTCGTCCAACGTGGGGATGTAAATGGAGATGGTGCTAAGCCGGACAGTACCGAATGCAGAGAATTGGTTGAAAAAACCGTTCGACGTGTCTACAGTGATCCGTATTTCCGTCCGGATACATCTGACATTGAAGTTCAAAACTACGTGAAAGAAGTGATGGCTGCTTGCTGGCATAACGATCCAAGTCAACGACCCGAATTCAAATCAATCAAGAAAAAGTTGAATCCTCTTTTCAATACAATATACAAACAAAACATAATGGATCATATGGTACTGATGATGGAAAAATATCAAACACAATTGGAAGACCTCGTGGATGAGAGGACGATTGAGCTGAAAGACGAACAACGGAGAAGTCAGCACTTACTTCAACGGATGCTTCCGAGCTCGGTCGCTGAACAACTTCTAGCAGGACAGGATGTGATTCCAGAAGCCTTCCCACCGGTTACCATATATTTTTCGGATATTGTCGGGTTTACAACGATCTCAGGAGAATCGACTCCAATGGAAGTTGTCACTTTCCTTAACAAGCTTTACACTCTATTTGATGGCATAATTCGACGGTACGATGTCTACAAAGTGGAAACGATTGGTGACGCCTACATGGTGGTTTCTGGAGTTCCACAATACAAAACAATGGAATATCATGCTGAACAGATTGCTATGATGGCTATTCATATCCTATCCGCTGTCAGAACATTCACGATTCCACATCGAATTGGAGAACAATTGATGATCCGCATCGGAATGCACACTGGTCCGTGTGTTGCTGGAGTTGTTGGAAAGACAATGCCAAGATACACGTTATTTGGTGATACAGTCAATACAGCATCCAGAATGGAGAGTAACGGAGAGGCACTCAGAATACATTGCTCATCTTCCACTCAGAAGGTTTTAGCCTCAATTGATCAAGGATTCTTATTGGAAGAAAGGGGTACAATGGCTATTAAAGTGAGTTTAAAAAAGGAAATGTTCCAAAAATAATAAACTGGATTCAGGGAAAAGGACAGATGACAACATATTGGTTAAATGGAAGAGATGGTTACGAATTCACAGAGACAATCGAGGATAAGATGGTTGTGCCAGATATTTTCCCGCGTCCAAATCTGAAAAACAGAGGGTCTAGTTGGGGTGAGTACCACCTTTCGATTCCCCAATCCTATGTTTGCATGTTCTTTTTTGTTTCTAACCCACTTTGTGTTTAGCTAACTGTATATCTGCAACAATCCCTGCATGTCCATTCCAACAACCGTCTCGAATGAATCTTCGTTTCATTGCGTCAACCTCAACGTCTTCGTCTTCGTCTACTAGCACAGAACACAACTGAACTTGAACGAACTTTTTGAGCACCTAAACTCGGTTATTTATTTTTACGCGTTTGCTTCTTTGTGATATCTATGCATGTGTTTTTCAATAAATTTAGTTCACGAACCTATCTAACAGAAGCCCACCCATCCCGTAAACTTTGAGCTCAATTATCTCGATTCCTGTGATAGGTATCAAAATTTTGAAAAAAATTTTTAGCTGACAAATTTTTGATATCTTTCACAGGAATCGAGATAATTGAGCCCAAATTAGACATTACTGATAGGTTTCTTCCGGAAGAAATACGGTAATTTGAAAACATTTTTCAGGCGTCAATCGAGAGTCATCATTATCATTGGCTACAGAAAAGAGCAGTCAGATAATGAAAAGACAATCAGCTGCCATGAATCGAGCTAATCAAGATGTCATCTATTACAATCAACCTCTGAATGCCGGTGGTTTCACTTCTCGTGGAACTTCGAACAGGGAAATGCCAAAGCTTTATGAGGAAGATAGAGAAAGTCTAATGAATCAGACAGCCTCTCTTTTTGGGTCAAAAACGTCTAACAGGAAGAAGTGAGTTATACACAATGTTGAAATAATTTATGTATGTCAACTTCCAGAAGCAATGCCTCCAAGTACAATGGATTCAGTTCATCCCGAATTTTCGCATCCACAATTTCTAATTCTTCGTCAACCCGCCCGTCTCGTCCATCGACATTTGATCAGGACACATCAATAGCTCTTCGGAAACGGTCGACCTCTCTTCCAGATGGTGAAAAACTGAATTTGGATTTTATCGAATCTCCAAACCTTGCCAACAGCACTGTTCCAATCATTCCAAACACTGTAGATGATCCAGAACCATCGTTTAGAAGAGCAAGTAACATCGACGGATGCAGTTCACATTCGGAATCTCCATCTCAAAGTCAATATCCATCGTATCGAGACTTAAATGCACCTCATCAGTATGTGAAAATATTTTTTTAGTTTTCCAGAAATTGTATTTCCAGAAGAAAGCGAGGGATCGCCACGGTTTTCCCAATTCGGAAACGTTCGTTATCTTGTGGAGATGCAGTTCTAGGGAAAGTTAATGAAAGTGGAACATCTGGAGCCATCACAACTTCAGTATCTCCTAGACCTACTTCAAGAACTTTGGATGGAGCGATGAAACTGGCTGCTAGAGCTTCCAGTCCGGACGAGATTATCTACCAGGTAAATATTTCATTTTAATGAATTCCTCAGCTATGGGTTTTTTCCAGGAAGATGACGAACATGCACTTATTGACGACGAATCGGTATTTTCGAATGGAGTGTCAAAGAGTGAAGATGGACTAAGGTCTTGTCCCCAACCAAGAAGAAAAAACAAGCATTCATTCCTCCGAGATCCTTCGCCACTGGCACAACGGATTCGAGAAGCGTCGCCATTTGGAAAGAAAAAACCTTTTTGGAATTCAAAGAATAGGTTGGGAGAACATTTCCGAATGGAAAGAAAAGTTCAATTTGACATTTTTCAGTAACGAGCACACATCATCGCCAGCAGAGTCTATATCACGGCTATTCCGTAGGCTTCGAAGTGGAACAAATGGTAACGATTATTCGGATTTGAATCATTACTGTGATGATGAAGACCTCGGCGAATATGAAATGCAAGAAATGATAGAGATGAATGGAGGGACACATCAGTTGAATGGAGCAAGAAGTGAGAACAAATCAAAATCATTGATTCAACCTGTCACACCTATCTTTTCAGCTAACCGCTCCGTTTCTTGCTCTCCAACGGATGACTGTTGTACTCTCACAGACAATTCGGAGCCACTTCTTGCCATTCAATCATCTTCCGTTGGTGATTCTTCGCTGTCAACATCTCTGTCCTGTTCATAATTTTATCTGTATTTTATTGTCTCATGGTTCCCCTCTCTCCCTGTATTTAATTTTGGAACGGGTCAGAGTTCCGCTTTTTTAAATCGCTTTTATTCGAAACTAGGAAACTCTCTCCACAGACCTAATACTTATGGTTACGGTATTTAGTATTATATAGGTTTCTTAGAACCGGTACGGGTTATTTTTCATGTGAAGAAATTTCTAAAAGGAAAACCAAAACCCTTTTACCAACATCATCAACATCACTTCATGTATAATAATGATTAAAATGGCCTTTTGTAATAAATATTTCACTTTTTCGAATTGTTCCCAGACATAAAAAATGCATTCTGTTGACATATCTCTAAAACTGAAACAAAATTTCTTAAAGGTGGGGGGACATGAAAAAAATAATGTTCTCGAAATTCCGTTCAAAGATGCCTCTCGAGGAGTTGAACTTGTGAGGGCGATGATTGAGGGTGCGGCGCCGCTACCGACTGAGCCACGCGGGCAAAGAGAAAGCGCACGCCCGATTGCATACATAAAGGCGAGGACGACAGCTGTACGCAGAGTGACATTAAGCGTTGTACACCGTGACGGTAGAATGCATACTCTAGCTACAAAAAAACTACAAAAAATCTCCTGTCCCCCCACCTTTAATCCCAAAAATCCAAAATTTTGCAACTCCAATAAAAGCCAAAACTTTTAATTCTAAAAAAATTAAAAATTTTGAAGTTCCAAAAAATCCAAAAGTTCCACATTCCAAGAAACCCAAAATTTCGAAATTTCTAAAAAAAATTTTTGAAATTACAAAATGTCCATAATTTTCCAAAAAAATGCAAAGTTTTCCAAAATCCATAGTTTTTAAATTCCAAAAAATTCAAACTTTTGAAATTCTAAAACATCCAAGTTTCTGAATAAATCCAAAACTTTGAATTCCAAAAAATCTAAAATTTTAGAATTTCAAAAAATCCGGAATATTCAAATCCCAAAATCCAAACATTTGAAATTCTAAAAAAATTAGGAAATTTGAAAATTCTAAAAATCCAAAATCCCGAAATTCCAAAACATCCGAAAAATGGAATACCCAAAATCGCTAAAATTTTGAAATTACAAAAAATCCAAAACTTTGAAATTAAAAACAAACACAAACTTCTGGAATTCCGAGAATTAGAACTGATTCAAATAAGTCACCACAACTTCAGAATATTTTTCTCAGAGCTAGAAAACTTTCTAGCTTCTCTTCAGATCCCTTTCAGTGGTCTACTATTAGAAAACTTTCTAGCTTCTCTTCAGATCCCTTTCAGTGGTCTACTATTGCTCATCGATCCTTCATTGATCACTCCACCACCAAGTATATAGAAACCCGTATAATATCCCAATTGTCCCTTTTGCATTGTGTTCATTTTTAAATAGTGGAAGACTGAGAGTCTGCGTTCTTTTTTATCGCCACTCCCCTATAGGCCCCCACTGTCAGTCCTTTTCCGATTCTTTCTCTCTATATTGACATTTCAACGCCCCTAACCAGCAACCATTATGTCTCTCCATCTCCCGACACCAACACTTTTGTATTAGATTCTGCGTCTCTTCGTCTCTTATTATCTCTTATTCATTTGTAGTTAACGTGGTTTGAAAAAGTGACGTAGGTTTTTAAGTTTAACTGTCTGAAATTGAACCTGAAATTTTGATTCGATATTAAAATACGATCTAGGTTGTCTAGATTCAATAAATTTCGAAATCAGAAAGTTTTTTTGAAGAGAGGTAAATGATTGGAATAGAAAAGTGACGTCAATCTCTGTATGGTGGAAACACATCAATTCTGAACAAATGTATGAGAAGAAATAAAATGAAAAAGAATATAGAAGACAATGGAGACATAGAGAGTAGTTTATTTCCACACATCATTTCTTACCAACCTTCGTCAGCTGACTCAGATTCCATCAAGAAATAAATTCTGATAGTTTTCAGCTTTTTCAAAGTTTTCGCAACATTCTGGAAAATTCTTTTTTTTTCTGATGCCAAACTTTTTGGGACTACTGTAGCTACCCTAGAGGGGAGCCGTCAGCCTAATGCTAGTCTATTACCCATTCTGTACCAATCACCATGATTATATTTTCCTGCAAAATCAGTATCCTGCATATGCTGATTGTGTGAAAATGATTGTAATACCATCGTCTTTCTGATATCACTCACTTTTCCCTTTCACACAGTTTTTGTGATTTCGTTGATTTTTGGTGATATGTGAGAGATGATAAGAGCGTCAATTGTGGTTATTCCTTTCCCCCATCAAAACCATCTGTATTGCGAAATCCTGTGCTGCATTTTTTACGACAGTGAAAAGATCCTGGATGCAAACAAAAACTGGGGAGAGAGAGAGGGAGAGAGAAAAAGACAACAAACTATACACAAAAATAGAGAAAATGACAGTATTGGTGATCAGCCGGTTCGATGCGCACTCCGAGGTAGTACCATTGAATAACAGAGAGACAGAGAGAGACAGAGAGGGAAAGAAAGAGAGAGAGAGAGAGAGAGAGAGAGAAAAAGAGAGAGAGAGAGAGAGAGAGAGAGAGAGAGAGAAGCAGACAATGAGAAACAAAAAGAGACCACAGTAGTGGCGCGGCCGGTTCTTCAGTCTGAGTCTGGGGTGCTTTCTTTCTATCTTGTTCGGGTACTGTTCTGGCACACTAATCGTCTCAATCTCTCACTAATCACTACTGTATCGTTCTCTCTCCTTCTCTAAATCTCTTTCTCTCTATCAATCGGTGACGCAAGCAATTGAGAGAAGAAGAAGTGGATGAAAATATGAAGAACGACTTTCAGAAAACATTTGCGCCGGCGCGCGCTTTTTTTCTTCATGTCTAATTATTCTGATTTACATCTTTCCAAAGGTGTCAAGTTCACTTTCATTTCCTTAGAAATTTCAAAATCTTTCAGTCAGTTTCTTTTCGAAATTTCAAAATCTTTCAGTCAGTTTCCTCTGTCTAGTTACTTGAAAAAACATAGTTACCACAGGTTCATTCAGTTATGATTATTATTCAAATTTTAGAGCTAGTAAGGTTTCATGGTCCACTGAACTTTTTTGTACCCGACTGACTTAAAATAAAACCAAAAGTTTAGCTTCTGATAAGTTCGTAGTACTCTTTTTCAAAAGCATATTATTACTGTAAGCACTTTGATAGAAGGTCACTCAAACCGCCAACTTTGAGCCAATTTATCTCTGTTCCTGTGAAAGATATCTAAAAGTGGTCAACAGGCAAAATGTTTATCTCACAATATCACCAATGTTTTATCAAGTGACAAATGTTTGATATCTCTCCTAGAAACCGAGATAATTGAGCTCAACGGGCATGTATTGGGTAGGCCGAGAATTAGTTTCTTCGAATTCAAACAAAAAATCATCGAATTTTAAGCTAGCCTAATTACACTTCATAAAGATCAAAGGATCTTCTAGAAAATCTGAAACTCCATAATGGCATTTTGTATACGAAAACCCTTAATTATTCTCTCGCATATGATAATCAACGTCCCGTAAACAACGAAATCATAAATCATCCGTTTCGGTTTTAAACCCGAGTTTTTCGTTATTTTCCAGTTCACTTCATCCCAGTAATCTCTCGTCATCGTCAGTGTGTGATTTGTGTTATCACGTATCTCATTTGCTGAGAGTCTTTGAGGTTCTTATCCTAATATCTTGGTCAAAAATACATTATACCTGTTTTTAAAATTTTATTGGCCAAATGGGCCATGTATTATTTCCTTTTCCTGTTCTTTTCTCTGTCTCATACAGAAACCAACAACGTCTTTTTTGTTGACAATTGCATACGTCATTCCACTTTTTTGTATGTCTTCTATTCCGTTTTTTCGTTCATTTTTGTGTCACTTTCCCATCTTTATATATTTTTCTTACAGGTTCCAGCCCCTTTCCCCCTTCTTCTCTCGGTCAGAATGAACGCACCATCTGGGCTTTTGCACTAAAAAAGGAGAAGAGAAGCTTCTCCTTTTTTCTATCTGTAATCAGATATACAGATATTTTTTCCCGGGAAAATCCCACACCTCTCACTTGGTTAAACTTTAATTTTTACTATTGGTGCTTCATTCTGCCAGCGACATATTGAAGATTTGGATAATTTTTGATTGAATTTTTGGAATTCAAAACAATAATTTCAAGCTGGAGTCGATTTCTTCATCGACAGCCGTTCAGTTGAGCAAGGCTGAGGCTATGCTCAAGGTGGGTTTTTTTAAGATTTGAAAATATAAAACACAAAATCGTTAGATAAATACCTAAAACCTGTAATAGAAATGCCCCACACCCTGTCAAGTTATAGTTCGATTATCTCGGTTCCTAACTATAAGAAAGATATCAAAATTGTGTTAACTGATAAAATATTTTGGAAGTTATGATAAACAATTTATTAGTTCACAACTATTTTATATCATTAACAGTAATCGAGATAAATTAGCTCAATATTAGTGGGCCCTCCCTCCTATTACAGGTTTCAAGGTTGTTTTTCCCCGTAATTTTGATAGATCATGTATTTTTTCCAAACAGTTTTGTACTCGATTTACAGATTATCATATTTAAATGTGGTTTTCATTCTATATCTAGGCTGGTTTTCAAATTTCATTCAACTTCGATCTCATTTTACAGGCTTCTCCAAAGCAAGTTTTTCCTTAAGGTTTACCCATCAAGACCTTTACTTCTAGTCTTACGGTTTCCTGAAACTACAGTATGCCCCTCCACCACTAGAATAGATTCTTTCCTCGAAACGGTCCCAGTTAAAATGTCATTTCCACAGGCTGATAACGGAACACCTCATCGCTCGTAAAACTGAATAATGACGTGCTGAAAACGATTGAGTTCATGACACGAAAAAAACACAATGGGTGTTTACTCAATTCTCTTCCATCACCTGTTATCATTCAGTAGTTTTGCACCATTGAGTAGCCTAAATGAATCATTTTAAAACAAACGAAACGGCCTAAATGAGATTTTCTAGTTTTTAGAGCCGACTGATTTCATT